TCCTAGAAATTATTAATGACATGTAGTGGACACTGTGGTGCACTGCTCAGATTTACCCCCACATTCCCTGCCCCACACAGACATTTTGGTACTGAAATACTTATTCTGCCAGCTGCTTGGAACGTTGATGGCTGGTAACTCATAGGTATGGCCCTCACTCTCTGCCAAAACGAGGCGTCCCACCCAAAATCATGCTCCCATCTCTGGGTCAATCCACATCCAGTGATGGTTGATGAGGGATGTATTAAGTTCTGGCCACTTTGCCTCAACTTGGCAGAAGTCCATAGGGCCATTTTAGCTCACAAGCTCCCCACAGGTTGACTGAGGACTTTATTGTAACTGCGTTACTATCCAACTTCTCTCTGTCCAGTTCTCCTTCCTTACCCCCCCATAGGTGTTGACCTCAAGAACAGAAAGTAATAAACTTCCTGTAAGAAAATTCTCTCTGAGCTGCTACCTGGGGACCCCAGTGTGCAATATAACACAACAGAGTATGTACATGAGGTTTCACAAAAAACATCATAAAGTCACACTTTGGAAAAAACTGAAACAACCCAAATGTCCATAAAAGTAGTATGGACAATTTGTGATATAAATGTAATACCATAAATGTCATTGAACAAACTATTGCTATGTGCGACAACTTGAATGAATCTCACAAACATAATATGGAGTAAAAGAAGACAGTAACAAAGGAATATATACTGAATTGTTCCATTTAGATAAAATTCACAAACAGCCCAAACTAATCAACGCAGACAAAATCCAGACTCAGAAACTGTACAATAAATAAATAAATAAATAAAGTCTCCTCAAATTAAAAAAAAAAAAAAATTCAGGCTCAGAGGCTCAGAGAGGTCAAGTATTTTGTTCAAGGTCTCACAGAAGTGAGAGGCAATGCTAGACTTTGGATTCAGATCTGCTTAATTTCTGCTCATATTCCATTCCATTACACCATGCTATGTCCCAAAATGTCTTGGTGCTTCAAGAGGAATATATACCTCCAAGCGTGCTGGGGAATGCACTGGCACCAAGGACACTGGCATGAAAAGTTTTATCTTCCCCGTCTACAAGCAACTGAAAGAGAAGCCTACCACCAGCAAGGTTGAGTTCTTTAAAGCCTGTGAGGGTGGGGGATGGCCATGGAGAGGGATCAATGACGGTCTTGATGAAGAAGAGAAAGAAAGATGCACACATGATTAAAAAAAAATGCAACACAGTAATGATTCCTTTAGGTTTGGATTGTGGCCAGCTAGATGTAAAAAACATCTAGAAATCCCTGCCACAAGAAAGTGGACACCTCCCTTTCACAAACCCCAAATATAATGAATATACTCAGGACTGAACAATTGTGTATTCAGTCTTTTTCAAGTCTGCATTGTCAAGAAGCACCTTTTGCATGGTCAGTGTTACTTCAAAGGTTCCATCTCCTCTCATTTTCAATAGCTTAAGAAAGACATACAATCATGCAGAAACAACAAATAACTCCCCCCAAACTGTAGAGCAAGGGTAAATTTTCAGAGCCATTAATTTCGTGGTCAGAAGTTCAAGAAAGGAGAGATAAATCACACAGAAGCCTTCGAGGGGCAGCAAATGGTAAAACCTTGTTCAAAATTAATTTAACAAATATGAATGCATATGATTACCAAATAGAACATGCAACGCAGGGCAGAGGTGAGGGTGAGGCAGAGGGTAGAGGGTGTGGGGACGGATATTCTCTGACCAAAACATTCTGGTAGGTTCAAAGCCAAGTTGGCAGGTCTGAAGGGAGGGGAAAGGATTTCCCTGGCTCCCACCCTTCCCAATTCATGACCGTCAGGAGGTCATCAGGCTGAAGGCTGTGGCTGGATTTTAAAGGGCCGGATACTTTTATAACTATGAGCCACAGTTGCAGCTATGCAAGCCAAGATAACGACATGGGTAATTAAATTCCAGGATCCTGGGCATGGGCTGATTGTGTCCTAAGATCAGAAAGGAATTCCCCTCCCACCTCCCTCTCCTGAACTTGGGATTTATCCCAAACACAGCACTCAGCAGATACTATGCCGTTAGACTGGTTTTTGGCAGGAGGCTCCTGGAGTCTCTGAAATGCTCTAGTAGAAAAGCTCAAAATTGAGCTGCTCATGCTGAGGGTCTGAAACCCTCTCCCTGACCGGCTGCCACCATGTGTTGGAGATAAATATGAGAACTCACATCCTAGAAAAGGCCAGAGTATGAAGAGGAAAAAAGAGAAAATTAATTTGGGCCACAATTTTCCTGCAAGTGGGAATGAGCCCTGGTAGCCAAAAGAACATGCTGGAGATAAGATCCTCAGTTTGGATTTTAACACCCCCCAAAATGTGGCTTTAGGTTGGAATAGTCTCAACCTAGCTTTCCAATAGTTTTTCCCACTCTACTCTCCATGTGTTCTGTGTTCCTAACAAACTGGACCATCCCCTATTTTCCACATATGCCCCTGCATTTAGTTGTCATTGTACACTGCTTAGTTCTTCTGTATGCTGTTCATTTCATCCTGATTACTCCTCTTTTCTAATCTCTGCCAAAATACTTCCAAGTTGCTTCAAGTCCTATCTTAAATGCCCTGCCATTAGTCCTAGTCCGTTTTGTGCTGCTGTAATAGAACACCTGAGACTGAGTAATTTATAAAAGAGAAATTTATTTGTCACAGTTCTGGAAGCTGGGACGTCCAAGATCAGGGCACCAGCATTTGGTCTGGAGAGAACCTTCTTGCTGTGCCTTTACATGGCAGAAGGCAGAAGGGCAAGCTGTGCGGAGTCTCTTACAAGATCCAAATCCCATCAACAAGGAAGGAGTCCTGATAGCCTAACTACCTCTTAAAGGCCTCTTAATACTATCCCATTGGCAACACCTGGATTTTGGAGGAGATTAAGTTTCAACATAAATTTTGTAGGGAACAAAAACATTCAAACCACTGCAAAGCCTGTGGTAAAGATTGCTAGGTGGTCAACAAAGCCACCTTGTCTTCTTAGACGCACAGCTGGACTACACTTCCCAACCTCCCTAGCAGTTAGCTGTGGTCATGTGACTGATCTAGCCAATGGAACTGCTCTTTCAGATCTGGCTATAACACCCATCCTCTATGTTCTTTCTCCTTCTGCTGGCTTGATATGTGGACAAGCCCAGAAATCTTAGAAGCCATATGTTGAGGATGGTTGACCCTCGAAATGAAAGGATCTGGATCTCTGAATCAGCATTTGGAGCAGAGTCAACTACCAATCAGGAACACCTGTTAATATTTGGCAATTGATAAATAAACATTTTCTGTGTTTGAACCATTATACATTTTGGGGCTAGTTTTGTAGTTTGTAGTAGCAAGTACACTATCTTAACAAATACAATTCTTTCCTCATTGTGCAATCAATCCAACATGCCCCTTACTGCCACTAAGCTTCCTATCACTTGGTATGGGTCTTCATGTTCACATTGTGCTATGGGCTGAATGTGTGCCCCAAAAGTTTATGTATTAGAAACTTGATCCCCATTGTAACGGTGTTTAGAGGGTGGGAAATCAGATTATGGTAGTTGAAAGGTGGGGCCTTTGGGACGTGATTGGATTGTGAGGACTGTGCTCTTATGAATGGATTAATTCTTTCATGGAGTAATGGGTTGATGGTTTAATGGGCTGTCATGGGCATGGACTGGTGGCTTTATAAGG